ATCGACGATATTCCTGATACAATGCTGAAAAATCAAGCGCGTATTAACGATCTTAAAACAAAAATATCATTGCTGTAGAAGTACTTTTAAAAAAGTCATGCAATAGAATAGGAAATATTTTGGAACAAGAAATCAAATAAATCAAGCAAATTAAAAAAGGAAATTCCGACAAAAAACAGACAAGAGCGATGGAGCAAGCAGTATAAGACAAAAGGAAAAACTACTTCAATTGCGGCCTATCCGATCATCCCGGTAGACTGTCCGATTAAGAAGAGTGATCCTAAGTGTTTTTAATGCGGCAAGCAAGAACATATTGCAACAGTATGCTAAAAAACAGTAAAAGGTAAAAAATAACTATATTGCAAGTAGCCCAATTTAAATATAATAAAGAAGTTGCGATTGGTTGCAACATTGTTATTTCACAATGGGTGATATACACATATACACATACGTGTGTGTGTGTGTGTGTAGCGTGTGCGTGTGTGTGTGTGCGTGCGTGTGCGTGTGTGTGTGTGTGTGTGTGTGTACAAGGTGTCCAAAAAAGATTCGAGATGGCGAATTATCTCGGAAGACGTTTTACAAACAAAAAATATTTCAAACATAAGTTGTAGAGCTTAAAAAAATCTATTTACTGGTCTTATCGGTTTGACCTTGGACGGCGTCACCAAGATTAGGTGAAGGTCACATTAATTTTTTTGAATGGAACACTATTTTTGATTCCAGAATCTAATAGTTGGTGTCAAAAGCATTCCAAAACACAATTAAATAAAATATTTTTTGATTAAATAAATCTCGAGTTATGAAAGAGCTTGAAAGTTGCAGTACCGTCGGTGTTAGCATTATCCAAGGTGTTCGAACCATGGTTGCCACCTCTCCGGTTTTCACCCAGAAACTCTGCTTATTCGACGAATCTCTCGGTTCTCCGGCACACGAAAATAATCTCCGGGCGTTAAATTTTGACAACCTCTTTGGGAAAACACGATGATTTTTCTTAAGTTCAATAAAAAAATCTCCGGTAGAAGAGTCAATTTTGATAATCTTTTTTTTAGAGAATGTTTATTTCAAAAGAATTTTTAATAGTGTGGTTAAAATTAATGATCTTCCAGCAGAACATTAATATATGTCCGGCACAATACTCCTTAGAAGGTGGCAACCATGGTCCGAACACTGACTAAAACCTTTTAAAATGTTGTTCAGAATCATGACCTTAACAACATACGTCAAGATCAAGGCCATTCAAAATTGTTGCTCTTACTCTCATTTTTGGAAATTTTTATTTTTTGAAAAAAAAAAAAAAAAAGAGAAACCTCCAATGGTCATAACCTTGACATATGTTATCAAGCTCACAATTCTGAACAATATTCAAAAGATTTTAGCCATTGTTTGGATACCTGGGATAATGCCAATGCCGGCGGTACTATAATCTTCAAGCTTTATAACTCGAGATTTAAAATATTTTATTTAAATGTTTTAGAAAACTCTTGACACCAGCTATTAGATTCTGGAATAAAAAATAGGTGTTCCATTAAAAAAAATCAAAGTGACCTTTACCTGACCTTGGCGACGCTGCCCAAGGTCAAACGGATAAAACCAATAAATAGATTTTTTTAAGCCTTACAACTTTCGTTTGAAACATTTTTTTTTGTAAAACGTCTTTCTTCCGAGATAATTCGTCGTCCCGACTTTTTTTGAACATTCTGTATATAAAAAACTTGTGTGGATCAATATTAAACTTTCCCTCATTATCTAAAGACAAATTCGCTTGTATATTAAATGAAAATGCAACACTAACAATAAAAAAATTAACAGCTGATGGACATTCTTACTTCTTACTTATTTGAATTGTATCAAATAATTTGATACAAATTATTGTCATAAATTTGGTCGTAAATTCAAATTATTCAGTATTAATTTCTTAAATACATACTTTCGTTAAAACGAAAGCGAAGAGAAATACCAATCTATTCAGTAAAATCAGTAGCTGTAGATAATAATGAACATCGATTAGTCCTTGAAAAGATTGTCAATAATTACTATTCTCTCAAGACGGAAGAAGCAGACATTAAAATAATGACAGTTTCAAAAAATAAACAGGCGGTAGATTTGATGATTGTCACTAATAGAAAAAGAAAAAGTAAATGAGTGTATAAAGCAAGCTGATTCAAGATGATATGACGCAGCTTTCTCTTTCCAATTATCCAAGTCCGATAGTACTGATCAAAAAGAAGACGAAATTCTAAATTATGTCGACTATCGACAATTAAATAAACAATTGTACGAGACAGACATTCACTTCTAGTATAAAAAAAACCAATTAGATAGTTTGTAAAATGCGATACATGTTACAAGATCTGAAAAACGGATTCTTTCATATTCCAGTAGACGAAGATAAACAAAAATATGTATATGACTCTTAGGACCGATAAACATAAGGCTTTAAAAGTACCATTTAATTTCTGTAATTCGTCATCATATAATCTTTTAACGACTCTAACGACAAATGCAACTTTCAAAAATGCAAAACGCAAAATATTACAGTAGCACCTTGATAACTCGAACAAATTCTACAACTTGAAAACCTCTGTAAAACGAAAATTTTGTTCATCCCGCTACGCTGCAGAAAACCTCTATAAATCAAAATAAAACCTATTTTAACTCAAATTATTTGTCAGGCATTTAGATATATATTTTACCTCTGTAACAAAAATTTAAAGTAGCCAGACCTCTACAAGTCGAAATTCCATCGTCGCTACCTCTATAATCGAAGTTGTAGCTATGTGTAACCGTGAGTAATAGCCTGTTATTTTGTTTTATAGTTACATTTATCATATGTATGTAATAAATAATTCACTACTAAATATTGATTTTTTTCCTCTAAAAGCCATTATAATCGGAAAATTATAAACTCACGTACAAAGCCTCGATAAATCGAATTTTCATATGTTAACCGCCTTTTGCTCGAATTTCGATAAATCAAAAACTCTATAATTTGAATAGTTTTTCTGATCCCTTGAGATTCGAATTATCGAAGTTTGACTGTATTAACTTATTTTGATGATTTACTTAATAATACTTTTTATAAAGATATTGAAAAAAAATCTTTGAGATAATTGTAAATTACAAACAGGGTAAAATTAATAATAAATTGGAAAAAATGTTATTTTATGCAAAGAAAAATAAAATTTCTTAGTCACGTTGTAGAGAATAGTTAAATATATCAATCTATATATACGACTGAAGTAGTGCGTAAGTTTTTAGAATTGATTACCGTGAAGAAAATACAAAGCTTTCTCGATTTGAACATATTTTAGAGAGTTTGTGAAAATATTCAATCGTAGCCCATTATTAACTATTTTGCTGAAATCAAGTATAAAATTGCTATTCACAAAAGAGAAGGAAATATCTATCCGGTTAAAATATATTGTACGGTAAGCTTGTGTTACGTTTTGTACAGATTAGGCACACAGAATTGCGACTGGTTGATGAGTATGTTATAAAAAAAGCGACGAAAATAATTAATTTTACGCATTATCTTATTCAAGCGATAAAAGCGTCCTGCCACGTTATATGAGTTATGAGCTACAAGTACTCTCCGTAGTCAAAACAGTAGAGAAGTTTCACATTTATTTGCAGGAATAGCGTTTAAAATAATAATGAATTATCGTGCATTTAACTATAAAATATATACAAGAAATATTTATGTGTACGCGTCGTTTGGTGAGCGTTTTAAAAAATTGTTTTATTAATATTTTCTCAAAAAAAAAAAAAAAAAAAAAGAAAAATATATATATATATATATATAAGTATATATTTACATAACACTTTATTATAAAGACTCTCTAAAAAATATATGTAAATTATTCACATATTGATAGAAATTTAATAATAAACATAATATTGTATCAGTCTATATTAAGGGGTTAGGCTACCCCTGAGGCGTCAAAATGATACTTAAGTTTGGAGTTTTTTGTGGGTAAATAGATAACTTTATTTAAAATCTGTTTAGAAAGGGTTATTGTACATATATAAGAAATTAAAAAAATATTTTTTTATTTTTTTATGTATAAAATGACAGCGCACTGGCTTACTTGTGGAATCCCTTTTTTCTGTTTTTTCAAATCGGTGTACAGGATTCTAAGCACACGGTTTAATCTCGAACAAAACACAAAGAATTTTTATTATCTACATATTAAAGACTATAGAAGTATGTAGGGGTTTTTTAAGATATGGATTTTTTTCAAAATGTAGATAATGAAAATTCTTTGTGTTTTGTTCAAGGTCCAGCCGTGTGCTTGGAATTCTGTACACCGATAGGAAAAAAGAGATTCCGCAAGTGTAGACCAGTGTATTGCCATTTTAGGCATAAAAAAAATATAAAAAATTTTTTTGGTTTCTTATACATATATACAATAATCTCCTCTAAACAGATTATAAATAAAGTTATCTATTTACCTACAAAAAAACTTAAGTATCATTTTGAGGCCTCAGAGGTGGCCTGACCCCTTAATATAGTCTGATACAATATTATGTTTATTATTAAATTTCTATCAAATATATGAATAATTTACATATATTTTTTAGAGTCTTTATAATAAAATGTTATATAAATATAGTTTTTTTTGTGAAAATATTAATAAAAAAAATTTTTTAAACAACGCTTACCGAACGACGCGTACACATAAATATTTCTGGTACATAGTTAAATGCAGGATAATTCGTTATTATTTTAAACGCTATTTTTGCAGATAAATGTGAAACTTTTCTAGTGCTTTGACTACGGAGAGTACTTGTAGCTCATAACTCATATAACGTTGCAGGACGCTTTTATCGCTTAAATAAGATAATGCGTAAAATGCATTATTTCCGTCGCTTTTCTTATACCATACCCATCAACCTCAGGGATGGCCTGATCCCTTAAACATTTCTATTGAAATTCATCGTTTTATAAATAGGTATTATTTATACTCACTACATGACAATGAGATGAATGAAATGATTACCTGCATCTGTAATGCGCCTTCTACGCGACTTACGATTCCTATTGGAAGGTAAGACCCTGATATTGGGTCTTTCCTTGGTAATCCTTTGCCGTGGCTGTGGCACCGGCGGTACATCTTGTATCCTACGGCTCGATGTCGCCAGAACGCTACCGCTAATTGCCGACGTCCTCTGATCCTCCGACTGCCATTGAGCCGCAACATCCTGTGCAGATTCCTGCTCTTGCTCTGGCTGCGAAGGTGGTACCTCCCCGAGGACTATCATACGAGATTCGCCACTTGTATTGCCTGAGAAAAAATTGAAGATATTGAAAAAGTGAATGATAAAAAATCTACAAGATAATTTTTCAGTTTTAACTGCTGAAGTGTGTGTGTGTGTGTGTGTGTGTGTGTGTGTGTGTGTGTGTGTGTGTGTGTGTGTGTGCATGTATGTACATACATACACAATGCTTTATTGTATTATGTATTTATTGTATTTGATATAATATATATTAGGTATTTTATTATTCAAGATATTTCATTTTTACATTAAAATTAGAACAACATATATGTAATAGCATCAATGTGCACTAAGTACGCACTAGTGCGTCCAATCAAATCTGCTATAAAACTATTAAGAATTAAAAATGCTAATAAATTATAATAGTAACTTAATATTATAAGTAACTTAAAGTACTATTAAGAATTTCGCGGTTTAACCTTTTTCTATATTTATTATATTAAACACACATCGGCGGTTTGTATATAACGGATTTAATACACACTGAGTGTGCACAAGTTTAAAACAAATTTGCTACATCTTTTCTGCAAAAAATATTATCAATTATAATATGCTATTTTTTTCTCACAAATAAAATATTTTATCTTAATATTTTATCTTAATGTCAACAAAATTTATTGAATAAAATAAGATGATTTTTATAAAATTATAATTAATTTTTATTAGCAAAAAATCATATATAAACTTACAGATTATAAAATTATAATTGTAAAATTCAATTAGTTTACAAATTAATTTCACAAATTTTTAATTTTGTTAAACAAAATTAAAACCATTCGATCTTTAATATTTTTTAACAAATCTTTAAAAATAATTACATAAAAATAAAATATTTTCTCAAAGAATAAATAAAATGTTTTTCAATTAATCTTATATGAACAATATAATAATAATAATAATTAATTAAAAGAAATAAATTTGAAAATTGAAAAATTATACCTTGCCTTAAAAATCAAAAATAACATTATATTTTAAGAATCTATAAAGTGTTTTGAAAAGTTTTGCAATTGAATTCATAAATAATGCTAGAAAGAAAAATTTACTTTGTTTTTTGTAGCATCATCTTTTATTATGTCACAAAATTTTACTTTAATCTGTTGTTTCATTTTGGCGGCAGTGTAACATTATTTTAATGCTTTTAAAAAAATGGAAAAAATTCGAAAATCGTGCTGTTATCATATATCTTGTAAAAAATACATATGTTATCGTCTGAAATTCAGACATGACACTTTTTTCGTTAAAAGATCTATATTATCAAAATTTCATTTAGTAAAAACACATTTTTCTGCATAATGACAAACAATTGTAATTAATTAATTGTCAGAATTGAGTATTACAAACAATTAAGATGCGAAAATGCCAACGGTACAAAGCGGATACTTGATAATATTATAATACGTGAATCTTACAATTCTTAGTTCAGACAAATTGGCGCGCTGCATAATCGTCGGTCTTTAAAATGCAGCTGTAAACCGAATAGTACATAATATCACAATTAAATTATCAAAGCATTCTAATAATTCGTTGCTCATTGAGCATCTTTTTAAATCCTGTGAAAATAACTTATTGCGAGAAACAAATTAAGACTAGCTCGTCCTTGTAAAGACAAATTACGAAGATTAGGCCAAACGAGCTTATTTGAACAAGGATAACAGCGTTTTTTATTACAATAAAATTTCTAATAGCTATAAGCATTATGCATAAAAAAGATCAACGCTATATGTGGTATATGTTTTGACCTAGATTGGTCCTTTAGCCACCTCAACAAATTACAGATAAAATATTAAACCATAATATATAAATTAATACGTTACATCCGTAGATTTTAATAAAAATGTGTTAAAATTATTATTGCGAGAAATATTACTTCATCCAGGATTTGAACTTGGACTTTCCTGCTCTCCGAGCGGGCGTCTTGTCTATTCGATCACCGAGGCATGTGATAATATTTATCACAATAACCAGTAAATTTAGGAAGAATGTCTTTCAACGGCGACGTGTATAAATAACTAATTGTAAAGTATAAGAGTTGACAGACTTTATTTTCACAGGATTTAAAAAGATACTTAATGAGCATCGAATTATTAGATTGCTTTGGCAATTTAATTGATGTTATGTACTATTCGGTTTGAAACTGCATTTTAAAGACCGATGATCATCGGTCGCAAAGTTTGCCTCAATTGAGAATTGTAAGATTCACATATTATGATATTATCAAGTACCAATTCGTCTAGTACCGTGTTGGCGTTTTCACATCTTAATTGTAATTAATTTATTTGCACTATTGCAAATTTTTAATTCTGATACCAAAGTGATATTAATTTATCAAATCAGCCTACGTTATTTATTAACACAGTTAATCATTTATTATCCTATTTTCTTGTCTATATTTATTATTGTCTACATTCATTTCTTATTTGTTTATTCTTTAGAGTTTTTTTAAGAATATTACTTATAACAAGAATGTCAAAAGCAATAGACCTGATGCTAACTTTATAAAAACTTTAAAAAAAGTAGATAAAATATAGCATTTGTCAAAATAAAAAGATCACATATCATCATTTTCGTTTCGTCGTTTAGAAGAATATATCTAAACATTGTTAAAAAAAAACATTTGTATAAAAAAATATCTTTTCTTTTATAGTAACTTCTTTTCATAGATGTGAAGAGTTTTTAATTCCGTATGTTTTTCGAAAAGCTGATCTTTAATTTTTTTAAATTCTTAAATTCAAATTTCTAAATTTATAAAACCAAAATTTTGCTGTATTCGTGATTAATAGAAATATAAACAAATATGTAGATTCTTAAATTATGAATTTTCACAATACATATATGTGTTGTACATATGCACAACATATGCATATGGATGTCCTTTTTGTATATACATACAAAAAGGACATCCAAAAAAATTTTTAGATGTTTCTAATTTTTCTAAATTTTTTAAATACTTTCTTTTAATCCATAGATTAAAAAAAAAAAATTAAATCCTTAAACCATTAAATTATGCAAAATTTTACTTCTTATATACATGTACATAAATTTTTCGATTACTTTTCATTATTTTAAATGATGTTATTTATATTTTTTGATCTAATAATTTCTAGGTTTATATATTTGCATTTTAAAGCTATTAGGTCTTGCATATTTTTAGATTCTTAAATCTTCTTTTGTATCTAAGAATTATTGTCTTAATTTTGCAGAAAATATCCAGTGTTTTTATTAATTGTGTTTTTATAAATATTATCACAGACTATCATAAAATTGAATTATTTTTTTAAGATTAATTAGTAGAATATTTTAATAAGTTTTCACGAGCTATATTATAAAAACAGGACTTTCTCTTAAATTGCATTTAACAGATTTTTATATAGTCTTTTTAACTCTTCAATTTTTTTGTAAACATTACATATTTTGTAAGCAACAAGGCAAACAACTATTCACACTTCTCAAATCACTCTAATTCTTCTAAACTTGAAAGTCTTTGCGAGATTATTCACATGGGAAGACACATCGAGGGTACCAATCGACTATTATCCCGGGAACTTTTTAGATATACTGGTAGACAAGAATTAACATATATCTTTCAAAAACGATGATGCAATAATATTAACACTTGCCAAGACAGAATAAACTTCGTAAGTAACAGTTGACATCAAACTAGACTGGCATGCCGCGATGACGTTTCGGGCAATGTCAGTCCACCTTTACACGTTTTCAGTTATTGATCGCGTCTACATCTTGTCGGCCTCCCTCTATCTCTTTCCCGCCATCCCCTCTCCCCCCCCCCTCTCTGTTCTGCTTTGCTCTGCATCCGTCATTTCAAATTACGAATCATTCTACATTGTAAAATGTGATATCGAGTCCTTATTCTCGATACAATTCAAATTCGTAAGCGAGTATATTAAAAATTAAAATACTCAAAAATGGAGCTTAAATCTCTTAAAACATATTTTGGTTAATATATATATATATATATATATTTACACCCATAACAATTGCACATGCGTACACTCGCGCACGCGCATGTAATATGGAATATACAGGGTGTCCCATTTTACATTTGACAATCAAATATTTGGAAATCGCGAGGTTTGAGAGAAAAATGTTTCAGACAAAAGTTGTAGAATTTCGAGGGGGACATAAAATGATAACATTGGTTTGATAATAACCCTGAGTGACGTCAAGGTCAGGACAAGGTCACTTTGAATTTTTTAAATGGAACCCTCCATTTTTCGTTGCATATTCTTGTAGCTTATTTCGAGAGCTTTTCAAAATACATAGATAAAATGTTTTTTGGTTAAGTAAATCTCGAGTTATAAAGCTTGAAAGTTACAATACCACCGGCATTAGTATTATCTAAGGTGTCCGAACAATGACTAAAACCTTTTAAATATTGTTCAAGATCATGACATTAATAAAACATGTGAAGGTCATGACTATTGGATATTGTTTCTCTTTTTTTCAAAAAATAAATATAATTTTCAAAAACGGAAATAAAAACAATAACCTTTATGGCCTTTATGGCCTTGATCTTGATATGTGATTGTCTAAGTCATGATCGTGAACAACATTCAAAAGGTTTTAGCCAGTGTTCGGACACCTTGGATAATGACTATGCCGATTGCAACTTTCAAGCTTCATAACTCAAAATTCATTTAATCAAAAAATATTTTATCTATGTGTTTTGGAAAACTCTCAAGATAATCTACAAGAATATGCAATAAAAAATGGAGGGTTCCATAAAATCTAAAGTCTTCCTTGAAAATCTTTCCTTGATTTTGACAGCGACACCCAAGGTCAAACCAATGGTACTATTTTATGTCCCCTTGAAGCCAAACAACTTTTATTTGAAATATTTTTTTGAAATATTTATCCAAAGCCGTTTCCAAAATATAAAGAGTGGTAACTGACTTTACGGACACCCTGTACACAGGGTGTCTAGTAAATCGCCTGCAATACTTCGACATATGATTCGAGATCCAAAAAGAAGGAAAAAAGATTATATAAGCATGTCCGGAAATAAATCATTTCCGAGTTATAACCACTTTTATGTTAAAAAAAATTTAATTTATTTTTTGTAACCATAATTATAATGACAATTATAATTTAGTCATAATTCATTTTTGTATCCAGGATTCACCACGTAGAGGCATAGTCCGTTTGACATTCCTGTTTTTTATTTTATTAATTTTTATTCTTTTTTAAATTTTATTCTTTTTTCAATTTCTCTATATTTGTAAATACGGTTACATTATTTTTAGAATGAAGGATAAACATAAACAGGTATTTAAATCAAGTTTGGTTAATCAAATATTAATATGTAATAATTCTGAAGAATCCAAATGTTTTTCGAAGAGTTTGGAATTCCTTTGATAGAAGAATAAGAGCCGGCATTCGTGCTGAAAATAGTCATTTTGAACATCTTATTTAATTCGACTTAAATACCTGTTTATGTTTATTCTTCATTCTAAAAATAATGTCATCGTATTTACAAATATCAAGAAATTAAAAAAAAATAAAAATTAAAAAGAGGATTGCCAAACAAACAATGCCTTCACGTGGTAAAATCTAGAAAATAATGAATTATAACTAATTATAATCATTATAAATTAAGATGGTAATTATAATTATTATGAAAAATAATTGAAATTACAATTTTTTAACCATAAAAGTAATTATAACTCGGAAACGACTTACTTCCGGACTTATGTTTATTTAACCTTTTTTTCTTGTTTTTGAGTCCCGAATCACCTACCGAAGTATTGCAGTCGATTTACTGGACATACTGTATATGTTTAATATTAATTCTTTAACGTTTAACAGATTGTGACGTAAAAATTATTAATAAAGGTATAATAACAGCGCATATTCAGGGCGAAATATTGGGAGCTTTCCAGCAAGAGACACAGACAACACAAAACCACAGTGCTGGTAAATAGAATAGTGCACTTTTGAATAACTGTGGCAGTATGCCATATCTCTTTATGCCAATTTTAAATTGTTTCAGTGATTCAAATAGTAAATATCACTGAAAGACAGTGAGTTTCACTGTCAAACAGTTTTGAGAACCGAAATTCTTCACTGTCTTTCGAACAGAGATATTCACTGTTTGAATCAGTATATTTTCACTGAAACAACATTGAAATAGTCACTGTTTATCAACAATTTAATTTTATGGATATAATTACTATTAAATAGAAAATCAAATTTTTTCTTTCCTTACCTTATTTTCCTTTATACAGAATGTCCCAAAACTCTTAATTAATATTTCGAGGCGTGAAAGAGAATGAAATTTTAAACTAAAAGTTCCTTTATCAATTTTGACTCAGACCATTATTTACAGAGTTATTAACAAATAAATTTAATCAATCAGATCGCACTTAGCCAGAGTACGTAGGAGTGTAGCATGCCGTGCAGCCCTTCGCGCTTACTTCTCTCAATTAAAATTTTATTCTAATTTTTGATATTAATAAATAAGTAAATGAATAAATCAATAAATAATGTAGGTATATAAATAAATAAATAAACGCATACAAATAAATACAATAAATAAGTAAGAATAAATTATGGTTCGAAATTTATCCAATTTCTCTGATGTTTTTATTCTTATTTATTATTTACACATTTCAATAAGGAAAAGTTTAACGGTTCAAAAATGAGCAATAATAGATTTATAAATAAAATATTCTTTAATGTCAAATCATAAAAACGTTTCGTATTTCAAAGAGTCTTCAACAGTTTATAAGCTTAATAATTTAAAACATTGAAATTAAATAAAAGTATAGTATTGAAGTTATAAATAAATTAAAATAACAAGAAAAAGAAAAACGGAACACCATAAAAAGTTTCAAACGTGATATTCCATGTTCTCCAAATTAACTATTAATAAAATTAAAATTAAAAGAATAATGTCTAGAAGAAAAATTATTATAACGTATTGAAAAATTTTGAACGTGATATTTCATGTTCTCCAAATTAACTATTAATAAAATTAAAATTAAAAGGATAATGTCTAGAAGAAAAATTATTATAACGTATTGAAAAGCCTGCGTAAGTCATAATAACTGATGAAAACTCTGTGAAGTACGAAACATTAAAGGATATTTTATTTATTTATTTATTTATTTATAAATCTATTATTGCTCGTTTCTTAGCCGTTAAAACTTTCCTTATTGTATTACAATAAACGAGCTTGATTTTTAATTTTAATTTTATTGTGACTTACGCAGGTCCTTCAATGCGTTATATAATAATTTTCCTTTTAGACATTATCCTTTTAATTTTAATTTTATTAATAGTTAATTTGGGAAACATGTGGAATATCACGTTCAAAACTTTTTATGGTGTTCCGGTTTTTCTTTTTCTTATTCTTTTAATTTATTTACGATTTCAATTCAATATTATACTTTTATTTATAATTTCAATGTTTTAAATTATTTATCTTATAAACTGATAAAGATTCTTTGAAGTACAAAACATTTTTATAATTTTTAACATTAAAGAATATTTTATTTATTTATTTATAAATCTATTAATGCACGTTTCTTGGCCGTTAAACCTTTCCTTATTGAAATAAGTACAAAATAAATAAAAATAAAAACAATCAGAGAAATTGGATAAATTTCGAACCGTAATTTATTCTTACTTATTTATTTATTTGTGTTTATTTATTTATTTATTTACTTATTTATTAATATAAAAAATTAGAACAAAATTTTAATCGAGAGAAGTAAGCGCGAAAAGCCGCACGGCATGCTATGTACTCCGGCTAAGCGCGAACAGATTAACTTTATTCGTTAATAACTCTGTAAATAATGGTCTGAGCAAAAATTAGTAAAGGAACTTTTAGTTCAAAATTTCGTTCTCTTTCATGCCTTGAAATATTAATTAAGAGTTTTGGGATACCCTGTATATGTTATATAATTTTCATTATTATATTATTCATATTTATATTAAATATACTTATATTAAATATAATACCATACAATCCAGAATTTGATAAAATAGAATTATTTTTGTTAGAATAGCGGTATTGTCATAAATAATACATAAGATGTGAACTTACAGTTTATTATTTCTTCAATCTTGGAATCAGTTTGTCTTGAACTAGAAGATCTTAGAGGCTTTGGAGGTTTTTTTATGCTTTCCATGAGCAACTCTCTGAGGGTACTTTCCTTTTGTAGTGGTCGTAATCGTCTTTCCGAGGCCTGTGTAGTAAAATATAACAGCTAGATTATTTTGTTTAAATATAAATAGTTTTTTTCATATATATAGTGTGACAATTATAAATTTCTGGCCTGATAAGGATAAAAAAAACATACAAAGGAATTTAAAAATATTTATTAATGCCATAGTTCCCGCCAGCTTCCAAATAACGTTTACATCACTCATACAACAAATCAAATATCTGAGAAAACGCTTCTTTTTTAATCAACTTTAAAATTCTTTGTCGCAATCTATTGGATGACATATCCTCAAATCTTATTTCTTTCATTATAATTTTTTATTTAGTAAATAAAAAAGATCAGTGCTAAATCAGATAAATACGGCGGATATTAAGGGCCCTTCCTAGTCAGCCACGAACTCCGCGTTGACGGTGGCGACGTTGTATCGCGGTAGAAATTAGAAGCTTCTTGTCGTATATTAGGCCCGTCCTATAATACGTCA